CTACTCAGTAGCAGTTCAGTCCACCAGGGAACTTCTCCCTGGCTACTCAGGGGCATAAGGCTGCACACCCAGGTGTCAGATTGACCTTGTATATGGCAGTGTAATGGTCCCAGGCCAGGAAAAGATTCTCCAAAGATATCCAAGCACTAGTGGACATAGATAATATAACAGCCCAAGCTAACAGAAAAAAGACAAAAATGTATTAGGAGCTCATAGAGGGGCCTCCTACCCTCCTCTATACTAAAACTTGTATTAGACTCCCAGTCTGCAATAATCTTTGTTTTGTTTTGAGACAGAGTCTCCCTCTGTCACTCAGGCTGGAGTGCAGTGGCACAATCTCCGCCTCCCAGGTTCAAGCAATTCTCTTGCCTCAGCCCCCTGAGTAGCTGGGATTACAGACGCCACCATACCCAGGTAATTTTTGTATTTTTAGTAGGGACTGAGTTTCACCATGTTGGCCAGGCTGGTCTCAAACTCTTAACCTCAAGTGATCCGCCCACCTCAGCCTCTCAAAGTGCTGGGATTACAGATATGAGCCACTGTGTCCAGCTCTTAATATCAATAGCTTTTGAAATATTTCTTGAAGGGCTACACTGAAACTTCATTGCGGTGTGGAAGGAGTCATAGACTCCAGTCAGAGGGCTGGGTGAAATCCACCAGACCATTATCACTCCGGGACCCATCAGTAGGGGAGCATGGTCTGCTCACTGCCAATGCCTCTCCCAGGGTCCTTCCTCAGAAAGCAAAGTGGGGGTTGGGTCCACTAAGGCGGTGACCTCCTCAGGGAAAGAAGGAAAGCAGCCCAGCCCTGTGGCATTTTTCACCCTAGATCTCATCTCAGGGTTCCCTGCCGAGGCATTATGGGACAAGACAAGCAAAAGATTCAGGGAGGGCAGGCGAAGTGGCGCACGCCTCTAATCCCAGCACTTTGGGAGGCTGAGGTGGGAGGACTGCTTGAGCCCAGGAGTTGGAAAGCAGCCTGGGCAACAGGGAAGACGCCATCCCTACGGGGCCTTGCATCTAATGTACGGTACCCCAAGCACAGTTACTAATGATCCAGAAACACACTTCACAGGCTCCCTCATCCAAGATTGGGCCTAAAAGGAGGCAGTAATGGCAATTTTATGTTTTGCAGCCCATAGGGAGTAGGACCAATAGAGTGAAAAAAATGACCTCTTAAAGGAAGAAATTAAGCTCTTGACAGAACTCCCCTTATTGAGAAATTGAGCCGTGGTTTTAATGGAAGCTGTATGTGTCTTGAATGAGGCCCTCGTTATGGGAGGCAAGTTGGCTTGCCTGGTGCAAGCCGGGCCAGTATGGAAAAGATCAGACTGCCTTATGCCCAGTTCCACATGGCACACACTGATTTTTTTTTTTTTTTTTTTTTGAGAGAGGGAGTCTTGCTCTGTTGCCCAGGCTGGAGTGCCGTGGCATGATCTCAGCCTACTGCAACATCCGCCTCCTGGGTTCAAGTGGTTCTCCTGCCTCAGCCTCCTGAGTAGCCGGGATTACAGGCAGGTGCCACTGTGCCTGGCTAATTTTTACTTATTTTTTGAGACAGGATCGTAGGCTATAGTGTAGTGGTGTGATCAAGGCTCACTGCAGCGTCAACCCTGTGGGCTCAAGTCATCTTCCCACCTCAGCCTTCCAAGCAGCTGGGACCATAGGAACATGCCCGCTCACAATAGCCTTCCGTTTGTGGACTATTGGTCCTTTACCACTGAGTCATTCTCAGTGTCAAGAGCTTCATGCCAGCCCAGGAACAAGTGAGCAGAGTTTGTGAGTGGGGCTCTTGCAGATCACTAAACAGACAGTGTATAACTCTGCCCATGGGCTGCAACACCAGATTCTCCCCCTGTGGTGTCAGCGGATGGCTGAGCGGTCATGGCAGTCTACCTGGGGGCCGACACCAGATTCTCCCCCTGTGGTGTCAGCGGATGGCTGAGCGGCCATGGCAGTCGTCTACCTGGGGGCCAACACCAGATTCTCCCCCTGTGGTGTCAGTGGATGGCCTAATGGCTCTGGCAGTCTACCTGGGGGCCGACACCAGATTCTCCCCCTGTGGTGTCAGCAGATGGCTGAGCGGCCATGGCAGTCGTCTACCTGGGGGCCGACACCAGATTCTCCCCCTGTGGTGTCAGCAGATGGCTGAGCGGCCATGGCAGTCGTCTACCTGGGGGCCGACACCAGATTCTCCCCCTGTGGTGTCAGCAGATGGCTGAGCGGCCATGGCAGTCGTCTACCTGGGGGCCGACACCAGATTCTCCCCCTGTGGTGTCAGCAGATGGCTGAGCGGCCATGGCAGTCATCTACCTGGGGGCCGACACATGCTGGAACCCTCTGAGTATCAAGCTTCCTCAGGCAAGTTCCCATCTTTTTCTTACTTCATGGGGTTTTTCTGAGAGTGGTGTTGAGGCTGATTTTAAATCTAAAGTGTATCGCGGAGAGGCCGGGTACTGTGTCTCAAGCCACTTCAGGAGTCTGAGGCGGCTGGATCACTTGAGGTCGGGAGTTCAAGACTAGCCTGGTCAACATGGCGAAACCCTGTCTCTACTAAAAATACAGAGATTAGCCAGCTGTGGTGGTGCCAGCCTGTAACCCCAGCTACGCAGGAGGCTGAGCCCCAATAATCACTTGAGCCTCGGAAGCAGAGGTTGCAGTGAGCTGAGATTGCACCAGTGCACTCAGCCTGAGCAATAGAGACTGTCTCAAAATAACTTAATTAATTAATTAAAAGTACAGTATATTGTAGCGGTCCCAGCAGGGCCTATAGTTCTACAGACAGAGAGCTAGATATAAGGTGCCCTCTCCGCTGGGGACGTGCGTGCCGCCTAACCAGTGTGCCGTGTTGTGCTACGGCTGATGTTGTAGGCCCGGCAAATAGGCCGCCCACCCACCCCTTTATAGGATAAGCTGTTTCTCCCTGCACTGGCGTATCTGCAGTGAGAGCCTGTGTTTGCAAGAGGGTCTGCTAAGCTGCAGTGAGCTGTCTTCCCAACAGTGTAGAGTGTTGGCCAACCCCCTGAACAATGGTGACTGGAAGCCAGTGAGCATTCATTGGTCACACTTCCTCTGCCAGAGTGTCCAAAGCAGTCCCCCCTCAGCCGTAGAAACTCCTAATCCACAGTCTCCCTGGGGTTGGCTGTTTGAGGGACCTTGTTCTTGTGTCACTAGACTTTTGCCCGAGGTCAGGATTCTTTTTCTTTAGTGCCGCAGTCCCGGTGTGCCCCTTTTCATCAGGCAGTGCAGACACATCGGGCCATGAGTGCCACCATTGCCTCCCGCTCCACGGCACCTGGCTGACCTGCCATCCACACCATGGAGTGCCGCTACACACCCCAGCCCCACCTGGCAAGGCCTGACTGAGCTGCCGCTGCTGCCCCCAGCCACCCAGAGCCACCAGCAAGTTTGAAGCCAGCTCAGGGTACACAGCACTGCCTCTTTTTCCTCTTCTTCGCGTTTCTCCATCACTCAGACATGCTGCTGTCGCCACCCGAGGCTGCCCTGGTGCCAGGACTGAAGCCATGGGCTTCCTGAGCGCCTCTTGGCAGGTCCCCCTCTTCCATTTTTCCCACCATGTGAGTAAGAGAGTGGCAGAGGAGTGCGTGTCACTTCCTGCTTGTAATTCTTTCTCTACTTGGTGCACCTGCTTTCAGAAGGCAGCTGAGCCTCTGCGGCCAGGTGGACAGCTCACAACAGAAGCCAGTCTGTCACCACCACCAGCCACCGGGCTTCCTTGCCACTGTTTGCCATTTTCAATCCTCCGCCTGGCCAGTGAAGCCTGCTGGGCCTCTTGGAGCATCTGTCGTCCGGGGGATCCTGCAGGGACCACGCCAGCAGGCCACGGGGAAGCCCACACAGACCCTCGCCGCCATCCTGGACGTCCCGGGGCTCTCCTCTTTCCCCAGCCCATTTCTTTGGAATCCTATCAGGTATGCCACCTGTTTCCTCCCATCAAACCCTTGGCCGCAGTCGTCCCAGAAGCGGCTGCAGGGAGGTTCCCACAAGGGAGTGCCCCAAACTGTCCTAAGATGGGACCAAGAAACAGTCCAAAGAAATAAACACTCAATCCCAGGGTTGTCAGTCCAAAGCACTAGGGGAATTTGCTTACAGAGTGCCCCAGCAACCCTCACCATGCACGGTGACAGAAAAGGGATGTCCTACCTAGATACACCTGCAGCTAAGGAATCAAGATTATTTACGAATCCTGAAAACTCAACAAAGTCTTAGTAGGATAAACGGAAGGAGGCCCACATTGAGATACATGACAGCCAAACTGTCAAAAGACAAGGCAGGGCGGGGCCTGTCACTCCTGCCTGGAATTCCATCATTTCAGGAGGCCAAAGCAGGCAGATTGCTTGAGGCCAGGAGTTTGACACCAGCCTGGGCAACATGGCAAAACCCCTTTGTATTTGTGCTAAAAATACAAAGAAAGAAGCTGGGTGTGGTGGCACATGCCTGTAGCCCCAGCTACTCGGGAGGCTGCGCTGAGATAATCGATTGAACCCAAGAGACAGAGGTTTCAGTGAGCTGGGATCACATCGCTGCACTCCAGCCTGGGTGACAGAGCAGGACTCTGTCTCAAAAAAAAAAAAAAAAAAGTGAGAATCTTGAAAGCTGAGAGAGAAGAGCGACTCTCGCAGACAAGGGATTCGGAGGACACTAGCAGCTGATTCCTCAGTAGAAACCTTGAAGTCCGGTAGGCAGTGGATCACACACTTCAAATAATGAAGAAGCCTGTCGACTGGGAAATCTATCGCTGGAAAACTTGTCCGTCAAAAATGAGGGAGACATTAAGACATTTACAGATTTTTTTTTAAGCTGAAAAAAAAATTTCTCTCTAAATTTGCCGTACAAGAAATGTTAAAGGAAGTCCTTCAGGTAGAAATAAATGAACTCTAGGCATTAAGTATAGAAATAAATAAGCCAGCTATATGAATATACAAAGCCCTCTGGTAAAGGCAGATTCATAAAGAAACATAAAAGCAGTATTATTGTAATTACGGTTAGTAACTCTGCTTTTTATTTTCCTCAGGATTTCAAAGACAAAGGCATAAAATGTAATTATAACTCTGTCAGGTGGTATGCAATGAATAAAGATATAATTTGTTACATCAACGACATAAAAAGAGTAGAGCACTCTGAAGGGTGACAAAAAGGCCAGAAGAAAAAGGGTAGAGCTATAGAGCTGCAGAATTTCGGTATGTGATTTAAGTCAAGTTGAAATAAGTTCAGATTAGAATATCATAACTCTAGGATGTTATACGTAATTCTCATAGTCACCAAAACCTAAAGATACCTCGAATATACACAAAAGGAAATGAGAATAGAAACAAAACATGTCACTCCAGAGAAATCAACAAGAGATAAAAGAAGTAAATTATTGAGAAAATGACTGGCAAAAATCAGGAATTCTGACTTATTAAAACTTTGCATGTTACAAAAATCTGGAAACTCTTATTTCACATAAAACTGGAGCTGAAAGAGACAAGCAACTATTTATTTATAAATTTCAAAGTTATATGGGAAACAAACATTAATTTTTTAAAAAAAATTCTGAAAACAGTTAAAATGTGCCATATACTATCATATAATATGTTTCATAGCTTTGCGAAAACAGAAAACGAAATTTTGCATGAATTCTTCTGTGCCCTAAAAATCCCCATGGATTACACCATTGTTACCCAAAAAGTCTATTCTAAATGCAGCCAAGTCATAATGTTTACAAATAGTATTTTTAGATACGGAATAATATTGCTGATTTCAATTTTAATAACATTCGATTGGGATGAAAAAATGAGAAGATAGGAGTTCCTCAGCAATATAACTCAACATGTTCCAACGCAGTAAGAAGTTACATTAATTATCTTCTGAAAGTCACTAATCTACATTTTTGATTTATGCACATAGCATAGCTCACATACTGTCACTGGGCCCATTTATTCAACAAATACTTGCTGCTAGTGACAGCCCTGGTTCTAGGCCTAGGAATGGATACATACATGAGCAAAGCAAAGATTCTGGTTCTTGTAAAGTTTCTATTAAAAGATCATTTCGTAAACTTTTTCTTCTTCCCAATTATAAAATCTGTAAGATGATTTAACAGTATGTATAAAAGTCATTGTCAGCTGGGCACGGTGGCTCATCCCAGGTGTGGTGGCTCATAGCGCTCTGTCACCCAGGCTGGAGTGCAGTGGCGCAATCTCTGCTCACTGCAACTTCCGCCTCCTGGGTACAAGCCACCCTCCTGCCTCGGCTTCCCAAGTAGCTGGGACTACAGGTGTGCACCACCACGCCGAGCTAATTTTTATATTTTTGGTAGAGATGGGGTTTCGCCAAGTTGGCCGGGCTATTCTCGAACTCCTGACCTCAGGTGATCTGCCCACCTTGGCCTCCCAAAGTACTGGGATCATAAGCGTGAGTCACTGTACTCAGCTAGGAGCTCACACTTTAGTTGGGAAAAATATACAATAAGCAAACCAATTTTTAAAATGAGAACTGCAGTGAGAGTTCAATGCTCCCAAGGCAACGTCACAGGAAGATGGGCCATAGAAGGACAGGGCTCTCAAACCACAGTAAGAGAAATGATCACTTCTTGCGATCTTTGTCTTTCTTCGCACTGGCGCTCAGCTGAGTCTGCAGTGCTTCAGAGGCAGCTTTCACTTTATAAAAGTCGATTATTTCTCCCTCCAGCTGTTTTTTCTCTCCTTCGAGCTTCTTTATCTCCTCCTGTTGAATCACTTTAAGGTGCTCCAGCTTGTCCTGCAGCTGTGGAACCAATGTACAGTTGTGACACCAGAGCACAGTATGGCTGAACACCCCAAAGCCATGATTTTTTTGCATGATCAGACAAACCCCCATCATCCGTATGGCATGATCTTAATAACGATCTTAAACACTCATGAGCAAACACCCAGATACGGAATTTTTCTTTTCTTTTTCTTTTTTGAGATGGAGTCTTACTCTGTTGCCCAGGCTGGAGTGCAGTGGCACAATCTCAGCTCAGTACAACCACCACCTCCTTGGTTTGAGTGATTCTCCTGCCTCAGACTCCTGAGTAGCTGAAACTACCATGCCCAGCTGATTTTTGTATTTGTCGTAAAGACAGGGTTCCACCATGTTGTCCAAGCTGGTCTCAAACTCCTGACCTCATGTAATCCTTTCACCTTGGCCTCCCAAAGGCTTTTTTTAACATATAGAGACATGGTCCTACTATGTTGCCTGGACTGGTCTCAAATTCCTGAGCTCAAGTGATCCTCCCACCTCAGTTTCCCAAAGTGCAGGAACTGACTGGGTAAAGTGGCTCATGCTTGTAATCTCAGCACTTTGGGAGGCCAAGGTGGGTGGATCACTTGAGCCCAGGGTTTCAAGACCAGACTGGGTGATATACACAATAGTAAACTTCAACAGGAGAGAGACTTTGTAAACTTGAATAGAGATCTTCTGAAATTATCCAGTCAGAGGACTAAGAAAAGAAGAATAGAAAAGAAAAGAAGGCCACGCGCAGTGGCTCATGCCTGTAATCCCAGCACTTTGGGAGGGCCAAGTGGGCTGATCATGACATCAAGAGTTCAACATCAGCCTGGCCAACATAGTGAGACCCTGGCCAACATAGAGACCCTCTACTAAAAACATAAAAATTAGGCGAGGTGGCATGCTCCTGTAGTCCCAGCTACTTGGGAGACTGAGGCAGGAGAGTTGATGAACCTGGAAGGCGAAGCCTGCAGTGATTTGAGACCGCACCATTGCACTCCAGCCTGGTGACAGAGCAAGACTCCATCTCAAAACAAAGGGGAAAAAAAAAGAGCAAAGAAAGCCGAAGAGACCCCATTAGGCAAACCACTGTCATGTTATGGGAGTTTGAGAAAAGAAAGTAGAGAAAGGAGAATAAAGCTTATTTTAAAAAAGAATGGCTGAAAACCACCTAAATCATGGGAATGATTTAGACATCCAAATCCATGAAGCTTAAAGATGCTTAACGAGGTCGAAACCAAATAGATTCTCACCAAGTCACAATATAATCAAACAGTCAAACGCCAAAGACTTTTTAAAATATTGAAGCAGCAAGAGAGAAGTGGGACACAGACAAGAGAACCTTCAGTAGACTATCAGCAGCTCTCTCAGAAGAAAGTTTGCAGGTGAGGAGAGAACCAGTTAATATACTCAGAGGGCTGAAAGAAAAAACTGCCAGCAACGCTATCCTTCAGAAAGAAAGAATAGCATGTGTCTTAGACAAACGAAGCTGAGGGAATTCAGGACGACTAGGTCTACCTCAAAAGAAATGCTTAAGGGAGTTTTTCAAGTGAAAATGAAAGAATGCAGCCAGGCACGGTGGCTCATGCCTGTGATTCCAGCATTTTGGGAGGCTGAGGTGGGTAGATCACCTGAGGTCAGGAGGTCAAGACCAGCATGGCCAACATGGCCAATCCCCATTTCTACTAAAAATACAAAAAAAAATTAGCCAGGTATGGCTACAGGTGGTGGGCACCTGTAATCTCAACTACTCGGGAAACTGAGACAGGAGAATCAGTTGAACCCAGGAGGTGGAGGTTGCAGTGAGCTGAGATTGTGCCACCGCACTCCAGCCTGGGCAACAGAGCAACATTCCATCTCAAAAACAAGGAAAGAAAGAATGCTAATTAATCCCATGAAACCGTAAAAAATAGATACATCTATAAAATTCAGTAGTGAAGTTGCATATACTGTCCCCTTCAGAATCCTCTAATACTGCATTGGTAGTGTATAAATCACTTTTCACTCTAACATAAAAGTCAAAAGACAAAAGTACTGAAAATAACTGTAATATTAAAACTTGAAGCTGGCATGGTGGCTCACACCCAGCACTTTGGGAGGCCAAGGCGAGTGGCTCACTTGAGGTCAGGAGTTCGAGACCACCATGGTGAAACCCCGTCTCTACTAAGAATACAAAAAAATTAGCTGGGCCTGGTGGTGCACGCCTGTAATCTCAGCGACTTGGGAGGCTGAGGTAGGAGAGGCGCTTGAACCCAGGAGCTTCAGGCGGCGCCCGTCCCGGCACCAGCCTCCGGGACCCGGGCAGTGGCCCCTCACCCGCTACCTGCCTCCGTTCCACCTGCAGCTGAAGCTCCCTGTGGTGCCCAGAAGATCGTGCAGCGGCCACGCCCATGGATCCGCCCCCGGGGCTGAGGCCCCGCCCCCGGGACCGCCCCCCACCGGCACAGCCGCTGCTCCTGCCCCACCCCAGCCCCGCGGGGGGGGGCCTGACCCCACCTCCCCCGGCTGTAACGCTGGCACCGCCCAGGCTGCCCGCCACTGCCTCCACCCGAGTTAGGGCCCGGACAGTATGACTAGAAGGGGGCTCCCCAGCCCTGTCCTCCACCCCTGGGTCCTTCCACAGCTGCCATAGGCAGGTGAGGGACCCCGGAGAAGATCCCAGGACTCACAGTACCCCCCCAGGACATGGACAGTTTGTGGGGGTAGCAATGGAGGGCAGGATGGTTATCTCCTCCCTGGTAAAGCCATGCCATCCTTTCCAGTTTGGGGCATGAGATCTGCTCCTCTTATATACACCCCCCCTACCCCTGCAGCTCGCCCGGGTGCCAGGGGACAGCAGGGGGGCCGCAGGGGTGGGCTCCCTCCTCTGAGCCCCTACACATAACCTGGAGTGTGTGACCTTCAGAGCTTTTCACTTTTACAAAACAGCTCCTGCCAGGGCTGCAAGCTGGAGGGTGGAGCAGGCCTTGGGCCACAGGGAGGCACCTGTGAAACAGGGAATTCATGCACCCCTTCTTTCCCCAGAGGGGCTGGACCCAGGTTAGTTTGGGGGTAGGGGCTCCTGCACTTTGCCACAGGCACAGGCAAGGTTTTGTCCCCACCCGCTAGGCCCTCCTAACTTGGGCTGGACTTTCTAAGAAGGTGATTCCCCTGCCCTTGCCCCCTTCCCCAGAACAAAACGTGATCATGTGCAGTGTTTCTCACTGTGCCAAGAAGCCCAGACAACCAAGATTAACGCTGTTTAACCCAGTGAATTAAAATAAAATAACATCTTCATGCCGGTTTGGCCTGATCTGGGCCAGGTCTGTTGGGACATAGGGCAGAAACTCAGTCCAAAACCATTACCTCCAGTGATTTTTATATAATGGTGGCCATACGCCCAAAATTCCATACTTTTGTAATTGATATACAAAAGTTAAAAAAGTAGAGGCCAGGCCTGGCTCACGACTGTAATCCCAGTACTTTGGGAAACCAAGGTTTGTGGATCACCTAAGGTCAGAAGTTCGAGACCAGCCTGGCCAACGTGGTAAAACCCTGTCTCTACTAAAAATACCAAAATTAGGTGGAAGGGGTGGTGAGTGCCCATAATCCCGGTTACTCAAGAGGCTGAGGCAGGAAAATCGCTTGAACCCCAGAGGTGGAGGCTGCAATGAGCTGAGATTTCACCGCCGCACTCCAGCCTGGGCAACAGAGCAAAACTCTATCTCAAAAGAAGTAAAAGTAGCCGGGCATGGTGGCGCCTGCCTGTAATCCCAGCTATTTGGGACGCGGAGGCAAGAGAATTGCTTGAACCAGAGAAGTGGAGGTTGTGGTGGGCTGAGATTTTTGCCATTTCACTCCAGCCTGGGCTGGAGTTCACTGGGCAACAAGAGTAAAACTCCATGTCAAAAAGAGAAAAATCAAAGCATATCACTACAAAAAATACCAGCAAATCACAAAGGAAGACAGAAAGAGAGGAAAAAAGGAACTACCAAACAGTCAGAAAATAATGAATAAAATGATAATAGTAAGTCCTTACCTATAAAAATGCCTTTAAAAGTAGATAGATTAGACCCACTCACGCCTGTGGTCCCAGCACTTTGGGAGGCTGAGGCGGGTGGATCACGAGGTCAAGAGATTGAGACCATCCTGGTCAACATGGTGAAACCCCGTCTCTACTAAAGATACAAAAAATTAGCTGGGCATGGTGGCGCGTGCCTGTAATCCCAGCTACTCAGGAGGCTGAGGCAGGAGAATTGCCTGAACCCAGGAGGCGGAGGTTGTGGTGAGCCGAGATCGCACCATTGCACTCCAGCCTGGGTAACAAGAGCGAAACTCCGTCTCAAAAACAAACAAACAAACAAAAAAATAGAGCCACTAGTCAAAAGACACAGTAGCAGAATGAATTAAAGAAACAATTCTCAACCATATGTGGCTGATGGGAGACCTACTTTTGCTTTAAGGACACCCTTAGACTAAAAGTGAAAGAATAGAAAAAGATGGCCAGGCGTGGTGGCTCACACCTGTAATCCCAGCACTTTGGGAGGCCAAGGTGGGTAGATCACCTTAGGAGTTCGAGACCAGCCTGACCAATATGATGAAACCCCGTCTCTACTAAAAATACAAAAATTAGCTGGCTGTAGTGGCATGCGCCTGTAATCCCAGCTACTCAGGAGACTGAGACAGGAGGATTACTTGAACCTGGGAGGCAGAGGTTGCAGTGAGCTGAGATCACGCCATTGCACTGCAGCATGGGCAACAAGAGCAAAACTCCATTTAAAAAAAAAAAAAAGACCAGTCTAGCCAACACAGTGAAACCCCATCTCTAACAAAAATAGAAAAAAAAATTAGCCAGGCATGGTGGTGGCACCTGTAGTCCCAGCTCCTGGGGAGGCTGAGGCAGAAGAATGTCTTGAGTCCAGGAGGCACAGGTTGCAGGGAGCCGAGATCACACCACTGCACTCCAGCCTGGGTGACAGAGTGAGACTCCATCTCAAAATCAAAAAGATACTCCACGCAAATTACAGGCAAACGGG